CTTGGTGACATGTAAATCTCCCCTCTCAAAGTTAGTCCTTTGTGAGCTCTCTAAGTAGTCTGATCTATAATCTGACTAACACAATTCTGATTATGAATATATTAAAACCTTATAGATTTGGCTTATACATAAGAAATCTATGGAGGGAGTAAGATGGCCCTTCCCCATGAATCACAATGGGGAATGGTGGAAATTGAGTGAACCACACTGGGAGTTCTTAACCCACAGACAATAAGGGAGTCAAACAACTGGTCAGAAAGAGAAACCATGGGAACCTTTCATGGCTTTGCGTGCAGGGCAATGTTGCATTGTTCATACACAGTTCTATGGCCTAGTCCTAGAGTAAACTGGAATACTTGCTCATTAGCAATCATGGACACAGGGGTACAGGGGTCCTGTCACAGTTCCAGGGTGGAAAAGAGTGATTGGGATCACTTACAGATAAGAGCACAGGTCAAGAGAGCAGTGACCACACTTCTCCTTAGATCATACCACCATGGGAGAACTAAAAACCTACATAGCCCAGAGCTAGTTCTGAAAACAGCAGCAGGAAAGGCCTGAAGCTTGGGACAGTGCTCCCCTCAGCCCTGGGAGCAAAGTACAACCTTAACATAAAGTTATAAATCAAGAAAAAGGCTAGAAAAAATGAGCTAAAGAAGAAAATAATCTAACAATAGAAAGTTACTATGGTGACAGGGAAGATGAAGACACAGAAGAAGAAAATGAAGTCAAAACAGCTAAATGCAAAGCTTCAAAGAAAAATGTGAATTGGTCACAGGCCCCAAAAGAATTCCTGGAGGAGCTCAAAAAAAGGTTTTCAAAATAAAGAGAGAAAAAAGAAAAATTGGGAAAAGAAAGCAATGCAAGAAAATTATGAAAAGAGAGTGAACAGTTTGATAAATGAGACACAAAAAATCACTGAAGAAACAATTCTTTAAAAATAAAAATTGGGCAAGTTGAAGCTAATGACTCCATGAGAGATCAAGAAACAACAAAAAACTTTCAAGTATTCCTAATAAAAAAAACAGAGCTGAAAAGAAAATGTGACTTTCAAATATAAGGCTCAAGAGGGGCCATTAAAAAAGTAATCATAAAAGAGAAATCATAAAGGCTTCAATAAGGTGAAACTCTATATTCCTACATGGGAAAATGATTCTTGTAACTCTCAAGAACTTCATCACTATTAGGGCATGAGTACACACAAAGAATACATAAAGGGTATGGGTGTGAGCTGACTATGATGGGATGATTTAATAAAATTAAGGAGTTGGAAAGAGGAATATATTAAGAGGAGGGGGATGAGGGAAGTATAATGGGGAAAATTATCTCACATAAAAGAGGCACAAAAGGAAGAGCTTTTACAGTGAAGGGGAAAATTAGGAGAGGGGTAGTGTCATGTAATGCTTGAACATTACTCTCATCAGAACTAGCTCAAAGAAGGAAACATACACACTCAGTTGGGTAGAGAAATCTACCTGACCCTATGGGGAAAGACGAAGGGAAGGGGATAAGAGAAAAGGGGGATGATAGAAAGGAGGGCAGATTGGGGGAGGTGGTGGTCATAAGCTAAAACGATTTTTGAGAATAGACAGGGTAAAAGGAGAGAGAAAAAAAGACAACATAAAATAGGATTGAGGGAAATGCACAATTAATAAGGATAACTGTGAATGTGAATGGAATGAACTCACCCATAAAATGGAGGTGGATAGCAGAGCGGATTATAAACCAGAATCTGAAAATATATTGTTTACAAGAAACACACCTGAAACTAAGAGACACACACAGAGTAAAGGTAAGGGGCTGGAGCAGAATCTAATATACTTCAGCTAAATTAAAAAAAATCAGAGTTACAATCATGATCTCATGTCACGGCTAATACAGAAATATATTTCCCATGACTGCACGTGTATGATCTATATCTAATTGCTTCCTGTCTCAGGGAGAAAGAAGAGGAGAGAAGGAGGAAAAGAATTTGGGATTCAAAATTAAAAACAAGTTGTAAAAATTGTTCTTATATGTAATTGAAAAATACAAAAATTTTAAAATAAAAAATAAATATTCATTTATTCAATCAATAAATAAACATTGATTTCCTGTTCTAAAAAAAAAAAAAACTGGCCCTCTCCTGGGTAATCAATTATTGTTTCCATGTTCCTTTGATTGAATACAGACACTTGTGGGGATTGGGCCACCTCTTTTTCTGATTTTAGGGAATTGTACCTGTTCACTCTCCCTCTCCCAACTTGGAAAGTCCCTGATCTTTCCTCCAATTGGAATTCAGATTACCTAATTTTATATTCTGGTTAATTATTTTCTTTTAATTAATTGGTCTTACTTATTTTTAATACATAAAAAACTGTCTCCCCCCCTGTTTTGGTTCCAGTGCCAAAGCTGAGGTCTGGTCCTGATTTGTTATACAATTGGCATGCACTGCTTAATAAACTGATATTCTCAGAAGCTCGACCTTTTGTTTTCTCAATCATTTCATCTTTCATCTGCCACATCAGCCAGCCTTCATTCCTCTTCTGGCTCCGCTCCAAGCCTTTGCAGACTTTATTTAAAACCATGCCCCCACATTTGGTATGTTCATTCTTCCAACTTTAACCTATCCCCTCCTCCTACTACTTTTCAGCTCTTTTTTGTATGCTCTTCTCTCATTAGAATGTAACCTCCTCGAGAGCAGGGATTTTCTTTCTTTCTGTACAGTGCCTGGCACAGAGTATTCATTTAGATGCCCTCAGATACCCTAACCACTCAGTTCCTCAACCCACTCTCCTTTCATCAGCTACTCCTCCATCTTCAGACACACACAGAGTTTGTCATACCCTCAATCTTTCATTAACCCACAAATATATCACTTGTTCAAGAATTCTGAAATCCCCTTATCTGACCACAAGCTTTTCACCTTTCCATCTGCTTTTCCTTCTCCTCCCTATGACCTTCAATCTCTTGACCCCTTAATTATCAGGCTATCTCCCCTCCACCAGCCACTCATTTCTCTTCTCCCCATCTTGACTCCTTGGTGAACCAATTCAACTCTACACTATCCCCTTCTTTTGAATCCCTAGTCTCCTTATCAGATAGCCAATTATGCCCAGCAAAGCCTCAACCTTGGATCACGCCTACCATTTGTTGCCTTCCTGTCTACATATGTGCTGCTGAATGAAGGTGAAGAAAAATACTCAACTATTCTGATTGAGTCCACCAAATAACTATTTTGATTGAGTACACTACATAACTATTCTGATTGAGTCCACTACATATTTATGTTTCACAGACTCAACTGGGCCCTCACTGTTGCTAGGCAATAATATTATACCTAAGTACTCTCTACAGTGGTTCTCCTGAACCTTTCAATCCCTCCTCAAATCTCTTCCTCCCTCTACTCTCTCAGCTGAGAACTTTGTCTCATACTTCACAGAAAAAAAAATGAGGCATCTGCCATGAACTCCCTATTCTCCCCTCCTTTTTATCTCCTGTCACTCATATGCCTTCTCCTAGCCCCCTGCTACCTTTTCTGTCTTCTTAACCTCTCTTCAATTCAGTGACAATGGTCTCCTGGCTGTTTCATGGACAAAACACTCCATCTTTTGGTTCTGGGCATTTTCTCTGGCTATGCTCTCCCTCCTCCGCTCTGGCTACTAAACTCCCTGGCTTTAAGTCCCAACTAAAATCCAACCTTCTACAAGAAGCCTTCCTGAATCCTTATTAATTCCAGTGCTTTATCTTTTTATAATTATTTCCTGTATCTAGCTTGTTTTATATATGATTGTTTGCATTAGATTGTAAGCTTCTCGAGAGAAGAGACTGTCTTTTGCCTTTTTTCTTTTTTTTATCCCCAGTGCTTAGCAGAGTGACTAGCATGGTAGGCACTTAATAAATTTTTATTGGATTGAATTAAATTGAAATACTAGCAAGGAAATTATAGCAACATATTACAAAAATCATACACAATGAGCAGGTAGGATTTATACTAGGATTGCAGAATTGGTTCAATAATAGGAAAACCGTAAGCATAAATGACTATATCAATAACAAAAACAACAAAAATCATATGATTTTATCAGTTGATGAAGAAAAAGCTTTTGACACTAGAACACATTAGAGAGTATAAGAATAAATGGCACTTTTCTTAAAAAAGTAAGTAGTATATATCTGAAACCAAGAGCAAGCATTATCTGTAATGGGTATAAACTAGAAGCTTTCCAATAAGATCAGGGTAAAGAAGCAATATACATTATCACCATTATTATTCAATGCTGTACTAGAAATGCTAACCATATCAGTAAGACAGGAAAAGGAAACTGAAGGACTAAGAATAGGCAATGAAGGGAAAAAAACTCACTTTTTGCAGATAATGTCATGGCATATTTAGAGAATAGGGAATCAACTAAAAAACTAGTTAAACAACAACTTTAGCAAAGTTGCAGGATATAAATTAAGTCTACATAAATCATCAGGTTTTCTATATATTATCAACAAATCCAGCAGGAAGAGATAGAGAAATTCCATTTTAAATAACTGCAAATACTTGAGAGTCTATCTGCCAAAACAAACTCAGAAACTATATCAACAGAATTATAAAATACTTTTCACACAAATAAAGAGAGATTAAACACTTGTAAAAATATCATTTTCTCATTGGTAGGCCAAGTCAATATATTAAAAATGACAATACTACCTAAATTAATTTATGTACTCAATGCCATACCAATCAAACAAATTACTTTTTTAGAGCTTGAAAAAAATAATATAACATTCTCAATAATTGGCCTCACTTTGAATGCTTTATGGTAAACATTATCAATATTATCTCATGGAAAAATTCCATGATTCAAGAAGTTAGAAAATATGTAAATTTAAAATATACTGTAATGTCTATAAATGTCCTGTGGTATAGATTGCTTTGCATAAGATCTACATTCAGAATGACATTTTAAAAGACATTTTAAAAATTGAGAAATTAAATAAAATCTTCCAGAAGGTGAAAAAAATCTCACCTGTATTTTGTGCAAGAAGAGTTCTGATTTGAAGGAGCTGTTGGCTTAAGAGAGATTTGTGGGGATACCTGAGCTGACAGCAAAAATCCCAAAGCAAGGATAATGAGCGCTACCGAAGTACCTAAAATAATGATAAAAATAAGTCATACTTCAGAGAAGGGTAGACAACGCCCTATACAATATTTTATTCAATTTACTGTAATATAGCTGTTAGAAAATACATTGAACTGACCTCCATACAACAAAAAGTATGTTCCTGAAGATGTCCATAGTACAATTATCACACAATAACCTGGTATCATACTTTGAACTATGGCAAGTACTCCATTCAACTATATTCATTCTGAAGTCAGACATATAGAACAGATTAATAAAGGTGGTTTATTTCAAAGATGAATCACTTCAATAAACACTGATCAAGCAAGGAACTTGCTCCTGCAAAGTAATGTGCTATGCATTACAGATGCAAAAATTAAAAAATGACATCACCCCTGACAGCACAGGACTTAAGATCTAATGCAAACTCACAAAAAAAAGACTACAAAAAACCCACTACAATATAGAAATGTGATGGAGGAAAGGAAATGATCAGACATATTCAAGTTGAGGAGCACTATTATGACTGCCAAGCATCAGGTAAAGCTTAATTGCACCAGAGTGGGGCCTTAAAGGAAGATAGGTTTCCACAGGTGGAGATTCACAGGACCTATGATCTAGGGCTAGGAAAGTATCTGAACACTTGAGGTGTGAAAAAGCAAATATAAAAACAAAAATACAACCCACAAAACACTAAATGTTTTATCAGTAGACTCTATTAAAACATTAGTATTATTAAGGACTCAACCTGTGAACCATTATAGAGGACATATAAAAAAGGTCTAAAATAACTAACATGAGATCAAATGAGATAATAACTTTGCAAGCTTTAAGGTGCTGTATAAATGTTAACTATTATTATCCTCATTATTAACATGGGAATATCTCAATATGACAATACAAACACATTTATATTAATTTATATTTATCTTTCACGTCTATATTTTGGGTATAGGTTCTATTTGAGAATATGAAAAATGGCAGCTATTCACTCCAACTAAGGTGTTCCTATCAGTTTCTGTGAACAAAGTCCTAAATGAGGTAAGTGTTTTGTTTTGTTATATAACAAAAAAGGTTGTTTTATATATATAATAAAAATTTTGTTATATATGCATGGTGGTTGCAAATATAGAAATTATGTGGAAGCCAGAATAAGGTAGGAAATGAGAAAAGGGAATGAAGAGTATAAGTTTATAACTGTGTTTTTTAAAAAAGCAATGGAGAGTCAGTGAGAAAACCCTAGAAAGAATGGAATATTCTGGAGGTGGTTTATGGAGATTATCTGTACATGACAAGACTAATCACTTGTATCCTGGGAAGAGTATATGAGTAAAGAAGTTTTTTTTAATCAGATAATCAGTGTACTTGTATAAATTTTTGCTAAAGCAATATTTGGAAGAATCAAAATATTTAAATAAAAAGAATAAGAGGCTAAGATGACCCTTAGAGTAAGTGTTTATGAGAACAGGTAGACACTGATCACTAAAATGGGATAAAAAGTTGATACTATGTATTGGAAGATCATGGGCTTTAGAGCTGTAAGGGATCTTAGATGTTATTTAGTCTAACTCTTTCATTTTTACACTGGGACACTGAGGCATGGAGAGGTTAAGTGACTTACAGTTACCAGAGCTACAATCTGAGATCAAGTTTTCTCCTCTAAATTTAAAGTCCTCTTTTCATTAAATCAGTTGGTGTTCCAAAAGCCTTAATCTGAAGCTAAAGCTTATTCTTCTTTTGAATTCAAATCATAATTACAAGTATTTAGGATGTTCTCAAAACACTCTGAAGCCCCCCAAAGTAGGTAATGGACAAAAAGAGATTTGAAAAAATTCAGAGAGTAAACAGTTCAGCTACTACAAGTGCCTCCAGTCTTTCCTTCTTAACCTCCTGTCCTTTTCATATTATTAAGTCTATCAACGAAGTATTCTCACCTATCTTAATTTTTTGGTGGGGCAGGGGGCAATCAGAGTTAAGTCACTTGCCCAGGATCACACAGCTAGTAAGTTTCTGAGGCCAAATTTGAACTCAGGTACTCAGGTTCTTTTGACTCCAGGGATAGTACTTTATCCACTGTGCCATCTAGCTGTCCCAAACACACACACACACACACACACACACACACACACACAAATATTTAAAATATTTTCAGTTCAGTGTATTTTGAGATCAAGTGCTTTGGCATAAATTGTAGCATGCCATAGTAGAAGAATGGTGCAGTAAAAATAAGAAACCTTGATTTATTTACACCAGTTTCACCACTTATTAGATATATCACCACAACAAGTTAACAAATTTCTCTGAGTCTCAATTCCCTGATTTCCTAAATGAGAATCACAATATATTACCCCAGTCTCGATTCTCCTTAATCTGCAGTTTTTTGAAACTGTTGACCAAATTCTCTTTCTAGATACACTCTATTCACTTGGTTTCAGATAGTCTATTGATTCTCTTCTCACTAACCATTTCTTCTCTTTCTTCTTCAATGGATCTTTTGCTTAATATTGCTTAATGTTGGTGTTCAGCAATATTCTATTTACAGCATTCTTCTCTCTTTTTTATTTTTCAGTGATTTCAGTTGGATTTGACTCTTGGTGACCTGATTTGGAGTTTTTTTTGGCAAAAGAATGTTTGCTATTTCCATTCCTAACTCATTTTATAGATGATGAACTGAAGCAAACAGGATTAAGTGATTTGCCCATGGTTACATAGCTAGTAAACATCTGAGGCCAGATTTGAACTCACGAAGATGAGTATTCATAACTTCAGGTCTGGCATGCTGCTATTCACTGTACCATCTAGCCTCCCCTTCTTTCTTTGCACTATCTCAATTGGCTACCTCATTCACTCCCATATCATTAACTATCATCTCTATGCTTATGACTCCCACTGATACCTCAAATTGAACTTATCTTTCACCTCATACTTGTCCCTCCTTTTGATGTCCCTATTTCTGTCAGTATTCCCCTCCCAGCTGTGCTTCTATGAAGTTCCATACCATGCCTCATCTGTACTTTCACCCTGAAATCTCCCTTAGGACCTAAGGCCTCCTGACCCTAGAACGTCCCTACAGCCTTCTCAGAGTCCCTCAGATGCCAAAACTTTCATTCTCCTCATGTGCTTTGATTTTTCTGAGCTTTAACACCATGCCCATGCATGGGATCTTTAATATTTAGCACATCCCACCTCCCCCACCAACATGCTTCTCAGCTCTCACCATTAGAATATAAGCTCCTTGAGCATATGGGCGGTCTTTTTTTTTTTTTTTGCTTATATTTGTATTCCCAATATAGAAATTCTATATTTCCTTAATAATTTAAAGAAAAGACAAAAATTAAGAAGAAAACAAACAATTCAATATTAATCAAAACTTTACTACAGAAGTTTGAGAAACAAAGAAATCAAAAATGACAGTGAACCCTTGAAGAAAGAGGATGTAGAAAATTTTGGATTGACTGAAGGAGTCCAACATGACAAAAATGAAAGTTGAAATCAGATGAGAAAAAGAAAGCTGCACATTAATATGATTAATTTACTATTAATATAAAAACTGTAGAAGTTATGTTTCCTTGTACAACTGAAAAGTTGAGGGAGCACAGAGAATGCATAATTATTGACTTAAATGCTTTACTATGGCACATGAATTACTAACAAAGCACTTTACTAGTTTCCTTGAAGACACAAGCATAATCTCACCATTCTTAATAGAAAGCATCTCACACACATCCACTCACACACATATCACCAAAACATGACAACACTAGTGATATTTCCAAATATGGGCTAATTATGTAGTTCTGCACTTTATGCAAAATATTAATAATTTCTATCATAAAAATATCTACAGGAGGTGGAGCCAAGATGTAGGGGATCACTTTACTAAGACCTTCCAACATTTCCCTCCAAATAATTTTGAAATAATCCATCATAGAGTATTCTAAAGTAGCATAACCAATAAGAGGCTGGTTATTTAAAGATGGGACATTTTTCTAGCCCAGGACAACTGAGGAGGTCAGAAGGAGAGGTCTATGGCTTTGGGGTAGGGACCAACCAGGAGAGGAGACCAGTGGTAACATCAGGTACGGGTCTTTGGGGCAGTGAAACACTACTTTCACTGTAGGAGGAATACTCACTGCTTAAAAGTTGTAATTAGACTGAATATCTGGTCAGAAAGAGGTTACAGGGGACCCTGTGCTAGCAATGGGTGCAGGGCCAGGTGGCATTTGGAAACTCCATTGCCCATTACCAAGGTCTAAGTCACAATTCCATGGCAGAGAGGAGTGATTGCAGTTGGTTGCAAAGGAGCAAGGGGCCTTCTGGGGTATGAGTCACTTCCAGAGAGTAGAGGAGTTGTTACTAGAGAGCAGGAACCTACTTGGGCAAGGACTAGCACAAACCAGGAAAGCAGTAACACACCTCTTCCTGGATCACACTACCTTGTAAGCATTGAAGAGCATAGTGAAAAAGCCTGAAGCATGGGACAGTGACACCCCACACTCAACCCCTGCTGCCCAAGTGAGCTGACTCCAACTCTAACATAAAGTCCAAAGTCAAGAAATAGGCTGGGAAAAAAGAAAACAATAACAAAAGAATCTGACCATAAAAAGATAATATGGTGAAGGGGAAGCTTAAGACACAAACTCAGACGAAGACAGTGATATGAAAACATCTATAAGCCAAACCTTAAATAAAAATGCAGATTGGACACAAGCCCAAAAAAAATTCTCTGAAGAGTTTTCTTTTTAAAAGGATAAAAAAGAGCAAAAAATAAAGATTCTAAAAAATCAAATGAAAGCAGGAGAGAAAAAAATTGAAAAAATAAATGAAGGCAAAGCAAGAAAATTATGAAAAGACAGTTAAGAGTCTAGTAAAAGATACAAAAAATACTGAAGAAAAAAATGACTTCTTAAAAACTGGCTAGAAATTAAAAAAACTGGCTAGAATTGGTACAAAAGTTCACTGAAGAAAATAATTCCTTAAAAATTAGAATTGGGTAAGTGGAAGTTAATGAATCCTTAAGATATC